TTTTTTTGTGTCTGTTTTTTTTTTTTTTTTTTGGGCCAAGCATGACAGAAGAATTTGCACACTGGAGCCTTTTAACATTTTAAGAAATAATGGAAGTAATTTAGTGCAGTCAGTAAGAAGCCTTCTGTTCATAGGAAACATGCAAGGTACTCCACAGAAAGGAAGACTTCCCTTTCTTCTGTTTAGTTTTTAAGGCTACACATTGATAAGTACTGTTTCCTGAAACAAACAGCCCTCAAACTAGATGACAAAAAGATGAACACAAGAAGAGTTGTATTGCTCTACAAAAGCAATGCGCAACCATATAAGACCTCTGGCAGCTATAACACTAACCCTGTTCTAGCTACATTTAAATAGTAATTCTGTCCTGCTAAAAAAAATTGCCGTGTCCCTAAGCAGGACTATTTAGCGCATGGACTTCAACATAATGAAGGCTGTAACTTTATAGGGAGTTGGAGCAGCCTGCAGTACCGTGAGCGGTGCATTCCTGAAACTCTCCTATAGCACTGTAATGTCAACAGAAAAGGCTGAGCGCTGATGTAATGTCTGAGGGCATGCCAGAGTCAAGACACTTTTTGTTTGATTCACAGGGTACAAGTTACTTCGCCCCACCCCTCCCCCATCCGTTTTTTTTTTTTTTTTTTTTAAAGCAGGCACTAACCAGTCGATTTTACAGCTAACAAGCATTACAGCTTCAAATTATCTACACAATAAAGAAGGAGACCAAGCTGATAGCACTCAGCATTGCGACACAGACAAGAATTCTTGTCAAAAGCGAAAAAGCTTTTGGTCTATTTTAGTTCGGGTTTTTTTTTGTTTTTCCCTACTGCTCGTGACCTGATCCCTGAGGCTCACACACTCAAAAAGGAATTTGGGCAACTAAAGTCCTTTAATATTCCCTTTGCCCTCAGGCCCAAGAGGATATTTTCCATATTAGTCTGTATAGTCAACCGGGAACTAAAAAAACCCTGGTTTTGAAACAACATTTCCCAAATTCTAACACAGATGAGAAGAATTGGAGCTCCCCCTGTATCCTCAGGCACCTTGAGATTCTCACACATTTCATAGATCAGATACAAACCAAGAGATGTGCACAACAGGGTAAAATCAGTGAGAGCTAGGTGCATAAATAAGCAGCCTTTGAGAATCAGAGCCCAGATGCCAGCATCCGCAAGATGAACAAACCACAAATTGTGAATAAACCTCTAGAGCGAGCTGAGGGAGCGGGCAGCAGGAGGCCGTGCCTGACCCCTCCAGCCTGTCCTGTCCTTGCCCCCTTCCACAGCTGCAGGACTCAAGTGAGCTCCTGGACAAGGCTGAGCTCATTCATCTGCCAACATCAAAGCTCCGAACAAAGAAGGGGAAAATAGGTGGTGAGAGAATGAGGTCATTGCATCCATGACACAGACAAAAGGCAGAATTCTGAGAGGAGCAAATAAAGGCAATCATAAATGGGTACAAATGAAGCACCCAGCTAAACGTTTTCTGTCAGGCTTTGGTAGCTATAAGAGACAAGGCAAGTCTCACTGGGCATTTCTAGGAAAAGTATTTGCATATATTGTTTGTTGCTTTTCAAATCAGGTTCACAAGGCCAAGGGTAATAATGCTCTTGAAGAAAAACAACTGTTTGCAAGGGCACAAAGCAGCTCTTCACCCTCAAAAATCCCTATCACTTAGCTCTTGCCACAGCCCACAAACCCCAAATAAGCTGAAAGAATTCAAAACAGTTTAACCACTTTACTTCATTTTATCTTAAAATTAAAGTTTCACCAAGATTAACAAATGAAACTGCAGTTTTTGTTCCCTGAAGCATCAAGCATCGACTTCTTTGCTAGAAGGTTTCAATCTACTTGCAAAACAAGTGTTTTAATGCAACTAGCAGGGATGAGGATCACTTACAGGAAGTTCCCCTCTTAAGTGACAGAAGTCAGAAGTTTTGGATCTAGCTTCGCTTGAGCGGCTATCACAACCTATGGGTGGCTAAAGAAGGAATATTAAAAAGAAGTCTGTAATCTGTGCAAAGAAATTGTATTAGCTGAACTTAAAGACGAGCATATACACACACCCACTTGTCACAGCATTATGGGAACTTAAGTATTGAACTTCTTGAAGTGTATGAACTCTAAGAGCACTTGTAAATTGCGTGCTCGCTGTTCAGGATATGTTCATTTTAGTCGTGCTTGCTGTTAGGGATATGTTCATTTTTGTCATACTATAATCTGAAAGGCCTACTTTGAACACGAGGTTATTTACCTTCTCTGTAGATTTTCATCACTGTGTTATAGTGAGATTCTTCAGACAAATACTGAGTACTTCAGACTAAAAGCTGAGGCTTTTTAAACCTTGATGGTCATGATTCACACAAAAATCTTCCACGAATAAACTGCTTTCTATGTTCAAACATCAGTTGAACCTCACAGCTCGCAAAGGAGATTTCTCACCCACCCTCCTCCAAACATAGTTGAACCTCAGTTGCTGAGTTGAACCTCACAGCTTGCAAAGGAGATTTCTCACCCACCCTCCTATTGCTTCCTTACATCCCATTCAAATACTTGCCAGATACCTGAGAGAGTCAATTTAAGCCACTAACCCTGAAAAAGAAGTTTCCAGGTCAGGAAGGAGCTCAATGAAATACCTTGCATCATGTATGCCTCCGCTGGACCAGAAAGGCCTCCTTTCAGCAGTTCTCTTTTTCTCAACACAAGTGCACTCTAAGTACTGATGAGTTAGGCATATGTCTTTTCTTGTTAGGATTAAAACACAGAATCTAATGCAATTTTATCCAATGAACAAAATGTGCAGACAGTACATAATACTTTTTGAATACTGACTGTAACTTCAGAAAAGATTACTAGGTCCTGCACAAAGCACTATGAACTAACTATTTAAGAGAGCTTAGAAGAGGGAAAAGATTGAATCATCAGGTTAACACGCATGAAAAGAAAAACTACAGAAGGATAAAATCAGAATACCAGCAAGAACTATATTATGCCCAAATCTCTTCAAATGCTCCCTGCAAAAAAAGCCCAAGCCCACACAAAGTTTTGTTCCTATAAAGAAATATGAGCAAGGATTTCTATGAAGCTCAGCAGGGACTTTGAATAGATTTCAAAAGACAAGCATTCTTTATTAAAGCAAATTATAGCAAGATTAAAAAGAAATAAACAGGACTAGGAGAGATTGGATTAAGTTGGAACCCTTTTCCTGTGCTTTTTGTCAGTGAATTCTGATTTTGGAAAGAAATGTTCTATAAACATTATTTTACATTCATAAACTTACAAAACTAGTATGCTTCTCTTTTTGTTAACAGGATAATTCGCAAAAAACATTCTGCAAGTTTCCCACTCATCTTGCATATCTTGGAATAGGTTCCAAGTCTGACCTTTTCTAGATTCATCTGAAACCAGAATTGGGCTCTCTGTAAAAGACAGTCCCTAAAGACTATCCAAATAGTTGGCAATCTAAACCAGCCAAGTCTCACATTACTGGACATTTTGGGACATGCACAGTTATACTACTGCTTTGCAGTTCCTGTGAGTGCCACTTTTTTTTACCCTCCTGTAGGAAAACTGTCTTTACAAGTATAAGCACCTACCAACATACATCTCTCCAATATTCCATATTAAACCATATCTTTACTCTTAACTTGTTATAGTATTTCCAGCTCATTAGTAGCACCAGGTGCTACTTCTTAGCTGATCAAAAAGTCAGGTGAAAGACTATCAAGTTTAGGGAGAAAAAAAAAAAAAAGCATACTTCTGAAGCACAGCGTCAGTCTGATGCAAACGACTATATTCCTGATTTGAAAAGTGGAATGACAAACACTTAAGGCATTTTTTTCCTAGTTTTTACATATTAGATAAGAAGCTGAATTATTGTCAGTATGTACATAAGCCTACTTTAACTCCAGAGGATGAAAACCGCGTCATTTTTAGGCTGACTACATGATGCACTTGAGGTCAGCAGCGCTTTTCTTTCCCCTAAGCAACAGAGATGTTTGTCATTGTAATTCTTCTGATATTTTACTGTTTCAGTATTTTGTTTTCTTTCTCTCCCAAACCATGTAAAACTCAAAAGCAACACACGGCACATACCTCCCCCCATGCCCATTAGTCACATTGCTCAGGTCAGTGACGCAAATGCATTTCCTGCTTATAATCTGAAAGAAGCTCAACTCTGCCTCCTGCAGCAGCAACAGAATTAAGGAACAATTCTTATTGCAGAACTGTTATTCATGACAGCATAGAAATTTTCCGATCTTAATTTTGTGGTGCTGTAGCTTGAAAAGACATCCTTAAACATCCTTAGCGGTTATTAAATACAGCCATCTAAAGACAACGCTCAGCTCTAGCAACATGCAAACTACTGTCAGTCACTCTGAGGGGCCCATTTCTTTGTGACTGGCAAAAGGGACCGAGACCTACCACAATAGGGCAGCAAATTTCCTCACAGGACACCAAACTATAAGGACTTACCAGATCGAGTAGTTTATGATTAATGAAGAAATATTACAAAACCAGAATTAAGAACTTTCTACATCCAAATTTATAAATATTTTGGTTTTGTGGGATTGCCTCTCTTGCTTTTAAAAGCAATATGAAAATGAAAGATGTTTCCTTATCATACCTGGATAATACTAATTCATGGTGCTACTACCATATTAAATGGGCTTAAAAAGCACATACTTTTACATTCTACATTTACTTTACAAAAGTAAATACATTTATTGTGAATACCAACTTCCAAATATTAAACCACATTCATGAGGTACTCATGAGACCACATTTGAAGAGGTAAAATTTGTGTGTTTTACTAGGTGTTTTTCTTCTTTCAAAGTCTGCAATACAAAACAGTTTCCAAGCAAAACAGATAAAACTACACAAGCCCTGTCTCCTTTTTTTAAATCTTCTGAATCAGGGAAAAACAAACAACATTATAGAGGTACCTTCAAACACTCACAGCAGCTCTGGAGACTAGGGACAGCCTCACTTGCTAATTACCTGATCACGATCACCTGCAAAACAGCAGCTCTTCATGGTGCAGGAGTTGAAGTACCCTTGGTTGTCAAACTGGAAGACAGGCAGTCGGCAGTGGATGTCATAGAGGACCGGCGGGAGGCGACGACGCAGCGCCAGGAGCTGTGTCCCGTTGCTGTTGAACCGCACGCTCATGGCGCTCTGAAGGGACAGATTCCCACCGTAGCGGAGCAGGGAACTGGGAGGGGGGGGGAAAAAAAAAAAAAAAAAAAGCAACATGTGAGACAGGCCACCCATGTGAACCAAGTCAAGGACGGAATTTTCTAATCCTGTTCAGTTTATTCCCGCCCCCCCTTCAAAGAGATAATTGATTCCTGAACATACTTTACTCAAAGACTAGATGACAAACTATTAAAATGCTAAGACTATGAAGTCTTCAGAAAGCCAAAGCTGATTTTCCTGTCTCTGTGAGAGTGGTTTTGTTAACAGTAAATATATTTCCTGCACAGCAGCAAAATCTGACAGTAATCTTGAGCCTTAAAAAGGCTGTTCTTGTATTTCTTGAAGTTCTGGGACATCTGCATAAAGACTGACCATACCAGCACTCAGTTCTTTCTGTTCAGCTCCTGCCCTAGTCCAGCCAAGCCAACCTTTCCTCCTACCCTCCAGGCGTGGGCACTTTCTCCAACTGTAGATACTTAGACCATTATCTCATTCCTGTTTCTATTTACATCTCTACAGATCATCAGAGGATGTTTGGACTCCACAATCAGTTTCAGCTGTCCTAAAAGGCCATTTTACTAATAAGTTATTGCAAGAAAAGCTAAAATAAGACACTTAGCTAATCTCAGATTTGCTTCATCTACAAATATTGCCAAGTAGCCAAGACAATGGTGCTAACACGTGACACTTATTACCTAAAGCACTCACGTGGTCGAAATAGCTTGATTTCTTGCCCCATATAAGGGTGTGTGATCAGAGTTAAGCATAGCTTTTTTTTTTTTTTTTTAAACTCAGTTCTTACTAAAACTCAGGAGACAACAAAACGAAGGGCTATTTGCTTCCACACCATCTTCCTGAAAACAGTAACAGAATATGGAATTTGTCTCATTCAGGAGCTTGAAGAGAATCAAAACACATCTGAAAACCGGCTAGTACTATAGAGGGTTTCTGGTCTCTTCAGAGAGAGACTTACATTCAATTTTTGTATGTTAAATAGTATTTGCATGGCAAAGACAACACAGAAGGAAGGTATTTTTTTTCCTGTTTTCTTCAGAGTGTTTTGAAAGGAGAAAATCTAGGTTTTGAAACCTCCTTAAGCAGTATAGGAGCCAGGTTTTGTTAACAGGTTTCAAGTAATCTCCCTCAAATCATGTGTTAAGAGCTGGGACTCTTGTGCAACTTCTGGACGAGGCAGGAAGGCCAGCACAGAAGCTGGAGATTCTAGAAGGAGGTTTATTCATTGATTTTAATGCCACATACGTTCAGATGTAGCTCTCTGCTCTAGCATTTGTGAGAAGTGAGTCACTCCGCATGGATAGAAAACCACATTCCTCACAGGTTGAGGCATGCACTATTACAAGAGATAGTTAAAAAACACCATTGTTCCTAAGCCAGAGTTAAGGAAAAACAAACAAAACAGAAGACTCCACATAAAAATTTAGTACACTAGAAACAGACTGTCCTCTCCTCGATGTGCTTCAAATTGTCAAAGCCAGGGTGCCACAAACGAATCAGAAGTCACATTTTCAAAGCTAATTAGTAAGAACTTCAAGTTGGACACCAGGAATTCTTAACGCATGTTACTGTTTGGGTTTTTTTTTTTTTTTTTTTGAGCAGCTATGCATATGCTTCTTATGTCTTGATGAATCTAAATTTCATCTACATGGGAACCCAACATAACTACCAGTGCTCAGTGCTATGAGTGCCAGAGCAGCTTTAAGGGAAGGCACAAAGCTACGTGTCCAGGAACAGGAACAAGACAACGTGCCTTCAGGAACAGTGGTGACAGATCAGATCAGGTCAGTTTGTGTAGCTTCCCCTGTTTCATTATCACTTTGAGTCACCAGAAGAGATGATGACACCTGTGCTGCCACCTTCTCCTACTACCCACAAAGACCTGGGCAGAAAACCACACCAAGGCACTAATCTGTGTAAAAAATGACCATCCAAAGAAATAAGCAGAACTAAGTTTTGTTCACAGCCATCCCCCCGCTCATCACACGGATCCCCGCTGGCAGCAGTGCCAGAGAGGCGTCCCCAGGCCCACGAGCGGCAGGGCCCGCGCTCCGCTTTCCCCTCCGCAGAGCCAACGCGGTCCAGCGCTTCCTCCTGCCCGAGCGCGTCGACCGGGTGCCCCATCCTCCCAATCCTTCAAGCACAGTTTCCATGGTTACTGTTATTAGACCCTGTCGGAAGTATTCCAAAATTTTCTTTTATAGTAATAGTAATGTAACGTTAAGCAGTTCCCACTCCACAGGTGTTTTCATAAGCTCCTGTAACAGTCAAAGGTACCAAACAAAACACTTTTCGGAGCTGAATCCCATATTGTGTTTCATGTTTCAGCAAATTTAAGGAAACAAAGCTCTACAAGAGTATTTTACTTCAGAAATGACCAAAAGAAAGAAAGACTAAAATTTTGGAGAATGTCATCATATACACGTAAGAGGACTAGAGCAGAGGAGCTGCATATTTAACACCTCTTGAAATCCCCAGTTTTGCCTGTCTCATACGCCACACAATTCAGCCAGACTTGCAGTAGAAACAGCTTGTGCTGTTCCTTGACCACAATGTCCGGCTCAAACTTAAAAATAAACAAGCAAACAAACAAAAAAACCCACAGTTTCTCAGTATCTTGCATCGTAAAGTACTATTTTAGTTGCTCATGAAACAGTGAAATGAGCTTTAGAGGGGAAAAAAATGTCTAATAAGACTTCTAGATTATTCCATCTCCATCAAAACTGCAAGAAATTGACAGTATTAAACCATTTTTAAACCATTAACAATGCTTCATTAATACAGAAAAAGATGTCTGAATGAAGAAGCTCCAAAACCTTCAAATGCAGTAGAAAGGCTCATCTATTCTTCCCGTGTTTTTAGGTCAAGGAAGCTTTGGAATTAGAGAACTAGAGCTTTAACATTTTATTTATTTATTTATTCATTTATTTTGAAGCAGAGGGAGGAGGAGGAAGTGGGGAAAGGAAGCTTGGAAGAGGCTGCAAGGGGAGAGCTGCGTTTAAGCATGTACAGCATTACAGTGCCTATTCCTGCTTTTCAGGTTGCATCATGGTGCTGTTTTCTCGCTTTAGCTTGTGATAGTTTAGGGTTTTCTGTTGTTCTTTAAAAGAAAAATATCCAGGGCAGTGTAGACATGTTTGGATATGTAGCTCATGTTAGAATTGCCCTTTCTGCCTGCTCCTCACTTCATGCAGCCTTCCTCTGCCAGGAATTTCAGAGGCATTTCGAAAAATATACTAATGCATCAGACTTAGCACTCCCAACTCAAAGACCCAGACCCTGACAGCCAGTGAGAAATCTGAGGACACTTGGAAAAGAGCATGTCTGATGGCAACAGGCAGCACCCACTTTCAGCCACAGGCACTATCTCTGTGCATCCGGACTACTCTGAGACTTAGTCTGCTTCCAAATGCAGCTCCCCCAGGCAGCAGAGGAATGCTGATGTTGCCTACCGGCTCTGGAAGCAGTATAGAAAAAGACATACGTATTTATGGGGCTTTTTAAAAGAGGTCTTGCACAATTAAGAGAAACATTTAGTCCACAGCTGGAACAGGAAAACCCAAACACACGTGGAGGGGGAGCGAGCGGACAGCTCCGCGCAGCCGTTTCCGTGGCCGGACACGCGGCACGGAGCGCTGCCTGGACGCCAGGGCAGCCACACCAAGGGGATCCAGGGCAGCGCTAATGTGAGCGCACCCGCTCTGCCCCGGCCCTCGGCGGCCAGGATTGGCACCACTCGAGCGTCTCCTCTGCAGGGAAAGTCTGTACCTGCAGCAAGCTTCCCCGCGCTCCTTTTTTAACAAAGGAGGTGTTTCATCCTCTTTGGAAAAGTTGACTGTCTGATTAGTAACACAAGCTTAACCCGGGGTATTCAAACATTAGCTTGGCAATGTACAGGGGCCATTAAAACTGAAAGAAGATCATAGTGCCTTGGTAGAAGTAAAATAATGGTTCAATTTACTGCTGTCATGCTCACTGTTTTAAATAGTGACTCCTGATAAGCTACAAATCTGACAATGAATGGAGTACAGTTCCTATCCCTGGGAAATGAGCGTTATTTAAGAGAGAGAAGGAAGGAAGGAAGGGAGAAAGTGTTGATATCATAAACAGCAGTGTGTGAAACCAGCCTAATGAAAGAATGACCTTAAAAGGAAAAAATGAATTGAATGCTTGTAACTAATACACACCACTGCATGCGACCGTGTGTGTCAGCATTTCTGTAACCACTAAACTGAGGAAATTCTAACTGTGCAAAAAGAACCGGGATGAAACTTGGCAAGCAGGATCTCAGTCTGGAAAACTCTGCAGAAAGAGGGTTTTTATTCTGGGGGGAGAAAATTGTTTTGTGTAAACATGCACACCATTGTTCTGTATTCTGGAGCAAACAGACTAAGCAGAATTGATCAGTGATAGGAAAGCAAACACAGGCTGAATTAGCATGCGTGCCTTGTATTAAAATGTAGATTAAAATCCTTTCAGAATTTAAGACAGTTTGCTTTGAAAAGCAGATCAGCTGTGTCAAGGTGTTTAGGATCTCCCCCAGAATCGTTCTGAGGCACAAGCAAACATGAAGTCAGTCCTTCATCCTCTTAAGATTAAAAATAAATTAAGTACAATAGCCATTCCCAATAATTTTGTAGCAATACCCATTATTTTGTCGCAATACCCATTATTTTGTCATAACAAGCTCATTATTCTAGAACCCGTTAGCAAAATTTCTCATAATATTACTATCTTTTCAAGAAATCTCTTGTTGAACTGCATCTCCCAGAATGCTCAACAGGAAGTAAAAGATTTTTGTGGGGCAGGAGAAGGGGAAAAGGGAGACTTTAAAGAATAGCCAAACGTCCAGCAAACACAGCCAGCCAGCTAAATCATCCTTTATTTTATTTTCCTCCCTTTTTAAGCCCTAAATTCTACGCTGTTCCATTATTCAGACTGTTAAGAAACAGCTCCTGGCAGGAGGATCCAGAGACTGCAGGAGAGATCAGTGGTGGGTCA